TATAAAAAAACCGGACAAGAGGAGTAGGAGTTGGAAATTGAAGGTTTCATACAAATTTGTAGATACGCGACCGGATCTAAACGACTATTCTTTTTTACGTTAACTTAGATTTTTTTTCACAGCTTTAAGGTACCGCAGACCCGAGTTTATTATGGTTTAAAAGTTTCCGATATAAAGAGTATTGTCAGACAGATGGACAAGAAAGTGATCCGTTAAGGGTTTAGGTATAAATAAGGGCTCCGTTTTTTGGTTTTGACGTACGGTCAACGATAGTTGCAGAAGGCTATATAGATGATTCAATAACTAACAAGATCGCTGTATCCAATTCAATACTTAACAGTATTGAAAATAACAGAAATGAGGTCAACATTAACATACCCTCTCTGAGTACCTCCAATAACGCTTCCTGTCCGGTTCAAATTCAGTTTCATAATTGTAATATTCAGAACATCAATAATTATTACAAGTAAAAATAAATTTGTTGTTATATTCAGCGTTTTATTTGCAATATTGTTTTACGTATTATAGTATGAGAGTAGATAAAGTAGTGTATGACACTGTACATAACTTGGTCTTATAATACTCGTGTGATACTATAAAAAACACACTCATGTTATAAGAACCCTTATTATGCAACAGTATCATAAACTACTATTTTATAATTAAAAATTAACCTCGTGGTCCTCATTTCCGTCACCCAATTCCGTTACGCTAAAACTCAAATTATCGTTACGCCCAAAAGTATATTTATTAAAGTATACTTCATAAATCCAAAGCTAAATAGTTAATTAAACTGCCAAATGCAGAAATTTATAAAGTTGAAAGTGTTTTTAATGTCTGATTGTCGATACAAGGTATGGATTTAATGAAAATTAAAAATCGTGACGGAAATTATACGAAAAAGACCTTGTTGTGAGAATGACCGAAAAACACATTTTTAACTGAAGGATTTTTTTACCAAAAAAGTGAACTCGATCAAAGTATCAGACTGGAATAACTTATTCATTTGACATTGTAGTAACCGACAATGTCAAGAGGTATACTTAGTTGTTTTGCAACATACGACATGTTCACTAACGTCACGGTAGTTTAATAATAATGATGTGCGGGTGCAGTGCATTTGCACGAATAGTGAAAGGTGTTGGGTTCGTATCCAGTTTGATACTTAATCCTAGTTGAATTTTTCAAGTAACAATAATTTTCTTTAGATTACGTATGATCTGTTTGTTTAGATACAGCCCTTTTTATTAAACTAGCCACTTAGATAAAAATAAAATAATCTGTACACTAAAAATAGCAAATATTGAATGTAGATAAATTCTTGTAAGGACAATGCAGTTTTAAAACTACTAAATAAACATTTGAATTACCATAACTCTTTGTGTACAACATAAAAAACAATGTTTTCTGCTGTTTGTTTTGGTTTTGTTAAAGTAGATATCGAATGAGAGAGCGATCTCCTCCTAATACTAATGTAACTTACAAGAAGAAAGCCCATATCATTTAGAAAAGCATGTAAAAAGTTTTTGTATTTTGTAAATGTCCATACCAGGATTCGAACCTAGGACTTTTTGATTCAAAAGACGTGAGCGCTGCTAAACTGCCTTTGCGCCTACCCGTTATCAATAATAATATATGCATGACGTAAATATTGAGTATCTTGGCTTTAACTTGATAAAACTAGTTTGACTCAAGTATCGGATGCTTGTAGCATACTTAATAGGCATAACATAACTTATGTAAGCATTGAGAATATGTAGCCTGATACAGAATAATATACTGAAGCAGGGCCGGATTTAGAGGTGCGGAAGCCCTAGGCCTAGGGCAACGATGAAGTGAAAGGCCTATACGAGGACGTATTTTAAAATCGTAAGGAATTATGATTTGCATTCAGTTGGTGACTCGTAAAAATATGGTTATTTTTATCTCTGTTGTTGGGAATATTTCTTTCCCTTTTTTTTGTTAATTTGTGGTGTATACATTTTTCTTTTGTTATATTGTAGTAATTCTTTTTTGCTGATGGCCCAGGAGCCTAGGAAGAAAAAAATACCTTATCAATCAATCAAATTGGCCTTGATTTCTGAATGCAATTTTATCGCAAATCTAATATTAATGTTAAATAACGGATCACGACACCAAAGAGACAAACATAGTTTATCTTAATGGCAACCTTGCAGTGGTATCTATACCTCCCCATGTCGTCGTAGAAACTGTGGACAATTAATTAAGCATGGAAATTATTAAATCCATTACCGCGGGTCAGCGAGATAAAAATAATTGCAGGTCAGCAAAGTTGAAAAAAAAACATGTTTTTTTTAAACATAAATTTGTTTATTGTCCCCGGTGTTTTAATTAATTGTATAACGTCATTATCTTCAGGGTATATTCAACTTTTGTTTTTGTTCAAAATAGGTATGGTTTTGTTTGTGATAAAAGTGACAATTTGAATGCAATCAGTTCAAGGTAGTAAAGCTAAGCAGTAATGATGACCACAACAAATCCAGAAGTTATCCAATAAATGCATACGTATTTACCCACGATTTAAATCTTTGATTCACCTTATACTTATAGACGCAAATCGGTAACGCCTACATGACTGACAAGGAAAGATAAACAATGCTATGCAAATAATAAAAATCTTTCACTAATAAAAAGGCAGAAAGGTACAGGGTCGTCTCGGAGACTCTTCTAATTTTACTACACCAGAAAAATAATAATATTCTGCCATCTACAATTGTACCTTTAAAACCAGCAACTTGTCAGTATACTATTCCCAAAAGAAATTTACCTAAAGCGTAGAAATACGTGAAATCGTTACAATTACAACGCCATGAAAAACTGAGAACACCAATGAGGTTCTATTCTCGTTCCGTGTGAATTAGGAAAGTCAATGAAAATTGGAGGTACACTTTATAAATATTAAAGTAATAAATGTTGTGCGAGTCTTTCTCCCATCCATTTATACTTAATCGAATGGTGTTTATTCGTTGCAGATGTTTACAAAGTTTCATCGCCGTCGGCTGCGAACCAGCCTCTGGGAGTATTTATAGAAGAACATCGATCATTCAAACAGATAATAACATTCACAGTTGCAAAATGTTTATCGGTTCTACCGCGAGTTCCTCTCAGTTGACAGATTCCATTATCATTGTTAGAATATTGTTTTATAAAACTAGTTAAATAAAGTGCTTTAGGGCGTTAATATAAACTTAAAATACAACTGATAGTAATTGGGTATTAAAGAGTTTTAGCTAATGAATGGACTACGCTTTATTCTTATTTGATTGTGTGCCGAACTTGAATGAATTATCAAATGAAATGTCAACGATTCAACTGAACAATTGTACCTATCATGTATACTAATAGGTACAGTATCAGCGTCATTAAAAATTCTACAAACTATGTACACTATAATTAACAGCATTGTATCAGAGACAGACAACACAGCAGGAAACGCGTACAGAGCAACCTTAAAAGCCTTAATTGCAAAGTACCGGAAGTCCTAATTTTAATAACTAGATTCACTATAGCAGATACTTGTACTACGTGTAGGCATGACGTGCGTGTAGACCTTTATTAACGATAAATAAGTAGATAGGTACTTCTATTTTCTTTACTGATGTACAATAGGGATGATGTGTATTTTTTCTACATCTATCAGGTGGTAAATTATCAAAGAAACTTGGACACGTATTTTTTCTTGTCTCACATAATCAAAATATTACAGGGATATGTTGATTTGAAATGTTATCATATGCATTTATTGGATAACATAGGCCAGACTTCATTTAATTTTGTTACTTTATTCCGTCATCATCATTCAATCTGTCATCAATTCCATCCAGGTTGTCTTCACAATCCTCAGAACCACATCTGCGACACTCCTAACCTCTCCTTGTATATTTTATAATATCAAAAATTAACTAGCGAATTATTCTTGTGATTCAACCTATAAAATATTCTCATTCTATATTATCACGTTCAAATTCTACTTTCGTAACGAAGACTTATGTAGTCCTTCTATAAGATTCGATTTTAAATTATAAATATTAGAATGAGGTAGTACCTATTCGCGAGTTTCTGTCCTTCTTTTGTCCTAAAATGTTTCGCAGTCAAATCCCTTTAAAACAATGAAGAAGTCGTATATACAAATATGTGATTGTGTATTTACATGGATGAATTAATGTCAATAGCATTGGTTTTTTTCGATTAATTTACACCGAATCGATTATGCCCGCCGCAAATTACTGATTAACTATTTAACTTAACTCGAGCCAATCACAAAGTAATTCCAATGATACTTAACTTCCGTACCTACTTTACAATAGTCCTTCAGTAAATTAGATAATTAAACATCAGTTTAATGCAAAGAATTCGTTGATTCATAAATTTTCATGAAAATGAATTATTAAATAAATAAAAGCTCAAGATGGATTTGTAAATAAAGTCTGCTGAACTGTTGCTGTGTGCTGAACTGTCTGCAAGATTGTAGCATAATTAAAATTATCATTTTGTTGTATTTCGCTGCATTTTCCATCACACCACCAATGGCGCTTAGCAATTCTCGCACATTTTCACGTTTACGATAGCGTGATCAAGATATATTTTAATATTCTCACACAGTGCTAACTTAAACTTATTAAACGCAAACTGTTGTTTTTATGTTTCACCTAAACACAAGTTGCTGAACATGGTCTTTCCGATCACTAATAGACCTAAGATCTAAAATTTACTCCGTAGTTTTCGTATTAAACTTAATACGTTTAGCAGTCCAACAAGCTTATACTTCTTTCTTATTTATGTCTCTCGTGGTAATGCAGATATCTATAAAGGAAATAATGATCACTTAAACCACAACAACTTTAGCAGTAGCTTAGACGATATACCGCCTGTATATCATTATTTAAAACTTTGATCTGGGCAATGCCCCTGATTGATTCTTGCAAGATGTCTCATCTGTATGTCGATTATTTAAAGCTAATAATCTGTAGAAAGCTTACCTTCTGGGCGCGCACTTTGTCGTCAATCTGCAGGGGAGGTGGTAGGAACTCGTCGTGTGGGTCGTGTCCGTTCTCCACGCCATTCTGGTAAACTTCCGTGTGTCCATTGGTTAGTCCATTGATAAATCCATTGGTTAGTCCGTTTGGTAGACTGCTGTCATGTCCGTTCTGTATACTGATCTCTTTAGCCTTCTGTGGGTTGGTGTCATGTCCTTTCTGTAAGCTGCATCCGTTCAGTCGCGCCTCCAACATGCTGACGCTGTTTTGTACTGCCGTCGACATTGTACTGTTGTTTCTGCAACAATAATAGGTTAACTCTCAATATATTTATCGATTTAAAATAGAACAATCAGATGCGTCGAAATTATGCAAATTCCATTATAAACATTTTTTAATAATTTTAATTGTGTTTGGCATGTAAAAATGTTAATGCAGTTACACTGGTTTTGTATTCAAATTCTAAACTGAATTTTATGTCCGTCCGTTTTCCAATGATTCACGCTCTTACGTCTTCAGCATGTTCTTTTAATAAAAACATTTTTCTTTCTTTTAAAAAATTACTAACGAGAAATTTTAACCTGTACGTACGTGTTACGTTACAGCCTCCTTGTTTGGGTAAACTCTTTATTCATGTAATGCCTACGGCTGCCAGTTATATTAAAAAGTTAATGTCATGATTTTAATATTTGAAATTAGGAATCCTCTGTCGTTTGATAGAAGATTCCAAGAGATAGACTTCAGGCACCCAACCATACGTTGATAGATTAAGCTCAATTATTATATTCGCCTGATTTAAAATAAAATAAAAGAGTTAAACATATAAGTTGTTTTCCATTTAATAAAACTGTGTCCCCAGGATCTATCCCTTCAGGGTAGATCGCCGCAGTACATAGGAGAAACCTATGCTCAATGTAACAAATAATTCATCAATAGTAAAGGTTGAACTATAGATTCCTTGGAGGACTAGACCCTACGATCCCTTAGGAGACACAAAATATGATGAGAACATAAAATCGACAAAAACATACTTAAATTATATAATAGGATCTTAAAATCGCTATTGTGTTTATAATTATTTGTGGTTTGCACAGTTTAATTACATAAACCGTGTTAGCACAACTGTGCCAATAAAAGTTAAAGAAATAGCGAATTCTGTTCCTACCTATGGATGGTGCTTCTCTTCTTTTGTTAATGGTTTTATATTTACATCAACAGAGCATCAAACTGTACGAATAAAAATTACAAGGAGAGTTTGTAATGCGCTGTTGTCGATAATGAATGGTTTTCAAAATCTAATAAGTGCAGGCATCAGACATGAAAACCTGTACAGAGTGGAATTATTCCTAAATAATATTTTCTTAAAATTTGAACATGTTCGATGCTTAAAAATAAAATAGTAATGTAATAACCTAATAGGTGGTTTAAAATAAAATCTACGGTTATTTTTCTTCAATCCTCGTCTAACAAATTAAAAGGAAAATGATGTATTTCTGCGCAATAATTACTGAGTAGGCACCAATACGATATGTAAGCAAAAATGATCTTTGTCTCGATGACCCCGGCTATCATCATATAATTCAAACTATCGTTATCTGCCACTTTATGCGGGCCACGAACTTGACCTCTGATCAAATCTTTTCCATTTTAAACAACATTATCATGGAAGCACAATGATAACAGTTCATTTTTTGCAAACTTTTTAGTTAAGTTTTTAATTTTATTTTTTGTGTTTACAACTGTAAGATTTTGGAATATAACTAATTTATCATTTCATTAGTAAACAGAATAATAAATAAATATCACCTTAACATTATGAAGAGAAGTCTTTTATAATTTCTCTGCATAACATGAGGTACCTACTTACGAAAACTTACACACTTAAAAATACTAAATCATAAGACTTTTAAATTAATAAGCAAGAAAGTCACTACCCAACTATCATTTATTATTTGACATTTTTGGAGCTATGCAGTCCTAATGAAACTGTAGTCACTGCGACCTAAAAGATCTATTGTGATTCGCCGACAAGTAAAGTATCTCTTTTAACATCATCATGCAAGGACCTCATAACGTTTCTAGCTTTTAGAGATTTGATTTCTTCTGGGCGTATTATATGTCGTCCCAAATGAATACTACGTTTATGAATGTGGGCGATTCACATAGAAAGTGTTTTGGTGGTTCCGAATTACTGATTGCAAATATTTTACTTTTTATCATAATAGGGATGATGAGTAATTTTTTCTTCTTCGTTTATCAGGTAGATTATCAAAAAGTATTGTACACGTATTTTTTATTTTTTCACATAATATAAACATTGCAGAGATATATTGATTTGAAAAGTCGCATGACGTCACGTTTTAGTACACTTTTAAGTGAAAATTCACTAAAAAGTGACGTCACGAGCCCCTACTCCCAAACTTTGACGCGGCATAACTTTGACATTTTTTGGTTGATTGCCCAAAGAAAAAATACGTTTTCATTATTTTTTGACCATCTAACTGACGGACTAAATAAAATTTCGTTTACTGTACCCCGTCATCACCCCTATTGTCTTAGCTTTGACTAATGACCCAAGTCTAATAGACGCCTAGTAGTCGCTATCCCCAGTAGATGCAAATCAATTATGATTTTTATCAGTCATAGCAACGTCATCATATCTATTAACTAAGCTATCTACAGACTGACACCTCACGTCTGCTGAACTGGCTAAAGGAAAATTTCAACTAGATACTCGATCAACACATTTTGGTATAATTAATAATTATGATTAGAACAATCTTAAGTATGAGCATACCACCAGCAGACAGCAGACGGGACGGTCCCGTCTGCCGCCTGGTCCGCGTGGAATTTGTCTAGTAAAATTTTTTTTAGATTCAAAGTCGAACAGTCACATGCTAGAAAATAAAAATTATAACTATGAGAATATTGTTAAACCCTAAACAAAGTCGTTAATCTGTATTACAATACAGCACATGAGGTAAAAGTTCGTATTCAATTAACGAAATAGGTACTGAATGCAAACGCATTCACGCCATTCTGGTAAATGCATTCAAATGTTTGTTCCCATCAGTGTCCTGTCAAAAATATTCACGATGATCTCAAAAACTACTGAACGGATTTTCATGCGCTTTTCATTATCGTTTAGATATTTTTTCATGGGAGATTTATGTGAATTCCGAGTCTAAAACCTATAGTCTACACCAAAGCGATGCTATGGGAGTTTAGTTGATATGTTTAATGTATGTATTACATTAACGCTCACGTCCCTTTTATATAATATCACGAAAGAATTATAACAACATGGCTAATCTGAATATTCTGAATGTGACATTGAGAGCATCTTTATTGCGTTGCATAACAGCGGTAATCTAGTGCAAATGTATTCACTATCGCGACCTTGATCGTTCATCGGCGAGATTTCCATTTTCAATCCGATAGCGATCTCTCAACACTTTAACGTTTTTATGATCAGGAACTTTCTTATTATTTAGTGAAATCCTAAGAAGACTTAGGTAAGCATGGAGGAACACTTTTATTATTAGACATTCTCCAATTCTAAGCTTTTTGTAAGTACTTACTCTCTTCTAAAGACCTAAAACGCTTTCGATCAGAGAATCAGTCGCGCCGTTGCATACCCAGACCCTATCTCTTACCACGCGGATCCCTGGAACCTCGCTCTACCATAAGACAGTGTTATTTTACTGTGATCTTCTGTAACTTGGAGGTTACTTCCGCAGACGAAAGCTCCAATTCCAGCGAAAATACCTCTCTTAAGTACTTCGACGCGCATAATTTGCGCGTAATACCAAGTCACAGAATCGAGAATCGAGCTCGTGTAAACATTGAAGTTAGGCACTGACTGATGTGTCGCGTAAACGGTGAAGTTGCCTGCATGTTGCGGTGCTGCGTGTATGTATGTGTACGATTGAGGTCGGTGGGCGTGTAACCACGCCCGCGTCGCAGGTCGTCGCGTCATAGCAACTCGAGTACAACACAGTGCAATGCACTATTCGTATCTCTGTGCCTCTTCACACACTGAATACTTATACAATAATACGCAATAGCGTTCATCACTTCGGCTGGTTGAGTATTGGGGCGGCCATTCGGGCAAGCGCATTTATATTCCAGGCCTAAACCAAAAAGGTATCATGCGTGGTGCATACCCCAACCACACTTATAGCTCGCGGACTTCTGCCAATCTCAACATTAAAAACTTGGTGTATATGTTTGTGTACTGCAACTGATGTGAAGGCAACTTATCAAATCAGTCTATATAATCCGTCCCAAAACTTCGCAATCTCGCTTTATGGAATAACATTGCACCCACGATGCTATGCCAAGCTTAAAAGATGGCGCTTTTCGAGAGTCTATGGATGAGTTAAGATAAAAAATGTCTAAATTGGTCTAGATTCATCCAAATCTTCACCTGATGACCAACGAGCCCAGCCATGAAAAACGAAGATGATTTACTTATTGGGGGTTTCATATTTTTATAGTTCAAAATTGTTGAAATATTTTATTACATTGATAATATTAAATTTAACAACTTTATCAAATATGTTTTGTTCAAAAACAAAGTTATAAATGTTATCAAGGCCACCATAGATAAGGTAACAAAATATTAGTCGACATCTATCAAGCCTAAGACAGTTTTTCCTGTAGGTATCAAAATATTTAAAGTTGTCACCTAACTGATATATGTATTTTCCAAACATAATTTATGTACTTACACGAATAAAAATAAAACTATCCAACGTGAATGTCAGTTTGACATTATTGCATGGACTAAATCTCGTTTTAGTTAAATTGAGACTTAGCTAAATCGCTGCAAATGGACCTTAATCAGCTTTCGAATAAATCCAGTCTGTAAAAACCGCTGTACATACTTTCATCAGCAAGAATCCAGCCATCTTCACCGCCCGGTTTGAACACAAACCTAAACCGGCAGAAACACGACACCACCAAAAGGTAGTGTTATTGTACTGTAAGGTGGAGGTACGTTCCCCGGGCGAGCGCTCCGATTCGAGCGGAATACCCGCTGTGCCCTACCTCTCTTAATAAATAAGCTATGCTCTTATGTTTTTATTAAGCATTTAACTGCTAGATGTTTAAATCCAAAGAAAAGTTTTACTAGAAAAAAATGCACGCGGACCAAGCTGCGGACGGGACTCGAATCCGCACCCTTCGCAATCCGGGCGAATGCACTGACCAATTATGCTACCACGGCCCTGATGGCTGGGTCGAAATTTTCCTAGCCTTAAGCTGCAAGGCAGCGCCATCTCTTCGCATTGTTGGTAACCCACAATGAGCCAAAAAGCTATGCTCTTGTACAGTATTTCTTAAGTGTATTTATTTAATATGTCTATAAACAAAAAAATAATTAAGTAATTATATGGCAGTAAAATCAAGTTTGGTTTTGTTTGTTTCCTTTAATTTCGTTTCTCTGCTTAGCCCGATTGTAGACTAAAGGCTAATGTATTTTTGAAGTGAAACTTCTTTACGGTAAGCCGGCGAATGCGTTACGCGTTACGAAAAGTGTGTTCGGGCGAGGCGAACGGGAGTTGAGTGGGGGATATAAGCAAGAGAAAGCAGTGCGCGCGCACATTTTCTTTCTCTCTTTCTGATATGCTAGTAAATGAAATATGTATATGTACAAACATGTATATATTGTACACACATCTTTATATATATAATTCTTCTGTGAGTGTGTATGTCACTGAACTTCTCTTAAACGACTGGACCGATTTTGATGAAATTTTTTGTGTGTGTTCAAGGGGATCTGAGAATGGTTTAGATTCACAATTTTGTCCGCTGGACAACAACTATTTTTTTAGGGCGGTACGAAGTTCGCTGGGTCAGCTAGTACATATATATACATACAGATGGAGCTAAAGAAGTTTCACTTCAGTCGTGTGGTCACTGGTTGGCACACTCGGTTTTTTTTTCACATTTCATCATAGTTATTTAACAATAAAGTATTAAATAAAACTAGTTTTAACGGGTTAATGCACGAAACTTTATTTATTTATTGACGTTTCGCAGCCTTTTCAGGCTGCTTCGTCAGAATAAAGTTTCGTGCATTAATCCGTTAAAACTAGTTTTATTTAATGAGTGATGTGCGTGAAAACCTAAGAAACAAATAACGTATTAATTTATTATTAACAATAATTAAGTATGTTCTTAATCGTAAGCTTTTAAACCCAGACGGCATTTGCGTCAATCAATCGCGTAATCTTCACCTAATTCTGATAAGTTTTGTATCGTGAAGGCACCTAGGTACAGCGACCTGGTATTGATATCACTTTCACATTGCCTCCCACATGCTTTAATGGGGCCATTGGGGGCGAAATAAAACAATTAAATAATGTACTAGGTGTACTGAAGTATAATCTGCAGGAGTAAGTTGTTACGCGGAAGAATCCCAAAATGGGGATGCCGCTGCTTCGCGCTAAGCAGCTTAGAGGGTATTCGCAGGGTTTTTAGCGGATATGCCGTAAAACGCCCGTAAAAGGTACGGGGTCCTCAGTGGGCAGCCCCTGCTGGGGCTCGTAAGGCTTGCAGGAGCCAGGTGTGAGGTCCGTTCGGCGGTGTGTCTCTTAAAGGCGTCGTCGTCTGTAAATAGTATTTTTTGCCTGCGTATAAAAAAAAGGAGTAAGTTGTTGCAGTAACTGCAGTGCGATCTGTAAGAACCGTATCACTTCACCGTGGAATCTCTCTTGGTACAAGTTCTTCATGGTTTTCTCAGTACAAAACGTGTTCGCTCCCTCTTACAACCTGGGATCCTTTAAAAGAGGCGTGAAGAAGTAACATGCAGGCCGGCAGGCTGAGGATGGCTGGTGTGGCAGGTAGAACTGCTGTATCAGCTATCTTCGCATCTGGACTTCACCTTCACTTAACATCAGATGGGGTGAAGTCATTTGTCGGACCTATCTATAAAAAAAAATAAAAAAAACAAGGTCTCCCATCGTAGATTTGCGAACCGATGGAGTAGCTTTCGACTTTTACATTGTACTTGTACAAGACTAAATGAATAAATTAATTTTGGGTTTGACAGTTTTAAGTAATATTGTCTGTTAATCAAAGTTAATCATCGCAATCGCAACTTGACCCCACATACATCTAAACATCAAGTGGGGTGGATCAACCACAAAGGAGGCCATCAAATAAAAAGGTATTACTTTTGCAAAATGGCATTATTCAACGGAATTC